ACAACAACAACCCCATAGCTCTTCTTTTCTAATCTGTCCCTTCCAGCCTTCTGCCTGAGCCCCTAGTTCCCATCTAAATAAATTGCAGACTTCAGGAAGACCCCTAGCAAGATGGATTGGCAAAGTGGCAGCATCAGTGCACTCAAGCGTGGCAACAATTGTGAGGTTGGCCCAGGACTAGGCAGTGTTTTGTTCTGTTGTGCATAGATAGAGTCACTATGAGTTGGTACCGACTCAGTGTCACTTAACAACAACAACAACAACAGTATTGACGGTGGGAAAGAACGATGAACATTCATTCTTGGTTCTTTGTATAAAAGAAGAGGTGGTAACGAATGCATGAGACTTCATGAATGGTGCAGTGGTTCTGTGATTAGGGAGCGGTTCCTAGTCTGAAGATCACAGGAGGTCATCAGGATCAAGTTCAGTAGCTTCCATTCTTGGAAAGCCCCTGAGTTGTTGAAGGCCTTCTCCATAGGCCTGCTCTTGGGAACTCCCCGGCTGTCCTTTCTCACATCTCCCCTCTCTTCCCAGGGCAGGATAGCATGTGCCAATGTCCTCAGTGACCTCTACGCAATGGGAGTCACAGAATGTGACAACATGCTGATGCTCCTTGGAATTAGCAATAAGATGACAGACAGGGTAAGTAAGACCTGCTTCTACTCTGGATTCGTCTGTGCTTGCTGTCTTGCTTATGCTACTTGACTGAGTAGACCTGTTTCCTCTCGATAAAGGAAGGTGCCTGGGCTAGATGGCTACCAGTAGCCCTTCTGCTTGCCACCTTGTAGTAACATAAAATGACAATCTAGCCTGTGTACATTTTCATCTCTACCACCTGCTTGTCTCTCTTTTCTCAGTGGACTGAGCCAAGACGTTGCTTTTTGTTGGTTAAGACGTATGTAATCGTACTTAGGTAGTTGCTGTGACCCTAACTAGACCAGTTCTTTAGATTATTTTTGACAGGTATTTGTTTTTGTCCTCCCAGAGAAATGTGCACTTTCTCGTGGAAGGTCCTTTTTTACCCTTCCAATGTGTGATTTGGTCTTCTGTTGTACACATTGATATCAGTGAGGGCTTTCCTGGTATTGAGGTATCATCGTGTCCCTCAGCCAGTGTTTGTACTCCTTGGTTAGATATAAAGCCGTTTTGGGGTAAGGGTAGCATGCATGTTAAGTGGGTCTTGTGAATCTTAACAGCCATCTAATAACTGGTTCAGATTTATAGACAGTCCTGTGGACCCAGTCATATTACAGCTTTGACTTCTGTGTGAACTTTAGTCACTTTGTAACCTAGAGCATCTTCTAACGTTTGATAAAATGGTTACACTGTAAAAGATTCTCAGTGTCTGTCACTTCGCATCCTTTCTGCGGACTTCCAGGACTGCTTTAAGATTTGATGTTCCTTTTTACAATTGCAAATGTAAACGCTCTTTCTTGGGTTTTCAGCTGAATTGTTTGACTTTTAATTTGTGTCCTTTTAAACCTTAGGAACGAGATAAAGTGATGCCCCTAATTATACAGGGTTTTAAAGATGCAGCGGAAGAAGCAGGGACTTCTGTAACAGGTGGCCAAACAGTATTAAACCCCTGGATTGTTTTGGGAGGAGTTGCTACAACTGTCTGTCAGCCCAATGAGTTTATCATGTAAGTTGATTTCCATGGCATCTTACCATTGGACTGGGATATTTCCCCACCCCCACTGTGTCTCGCACTGTTCAAAAGGTAGTAAAGAGACTCTATGGCCCTGGTGCCAAGTTCCCTCACCTCTCCATCAGCCATCACTTCCCACCCCAGAGGTAGTCCTTTCTCCACTTTGATTTTTTTAAGCCACTTTAGTATTGATAAGCATAGGACTTCTAACCAAAAGGGCGAAGTTCAAACCTACCAGCTGTCCTTGTTAACCTTATATAGGGTTGCTATGACTCTGAAAAGACAGACTTGATGGCAAATAACAGTAGTAATGAATCAGGGAGTTTTTTCCCAATACCCTATCCAGAAGTAGTCGTCCCCCCGCCCCCTCCCCCAAAAAATCTCTGTCACCAATAAAAGCGAATTTTAAGTAGATTCTTGAACTCTCTTGGCTTATTAACCGCGTCAGCTCGTTCATCTTTAGCACCTGTCCCATCTCCAGTAGCTTTTCCAGAACTACTGCCTTCACCATGAAGCTCCATGATTTTTCCCAATTCAAACTTGGGTTGCCTCCATATTTTTACTTTTACTTTTACTAACAAACACATGGTAGAGAGATAAATAGATTGGTAAGGCTCTTCTGTGTCCAGTGCTATCTGGAATCAACTTATTAACCACCTTCAAGCCATTTGACAATTTCCGTCATTTTTTCCGGATTTAAGGTTTCCCATATCTGATTGTTATGTTTTTTATTAAAATCCACACAAACCAGATGAAGTAAATATCCATCACTAGCCTTGATATCAGCATGAGCTTCAATCATGGTCTGCTGTTTTTTTGGCCATTTCTTCATGGGTAAGATATAGGCCATGGAAGTTTGTCAATTTTTGCCGTGAACCTCAGTAATGAAGTTGAATTTTCTAAATGCAGTTTCATCATTCTGCATATCAGCAGTGCTCACATCAAAAACATGACCCTTGAGGCCTCCAGGTTGTTTTCGTCTTAAGGTCTAGTTTCTGGAAAATTGAGTTGCTTGTGTGTATCAGTCTTCTAATGTTTTGTTCCAGCAGTAGGCCCAGTAGCAAGATGTTAAGTACATCACTGTGGGAGTTGCCTTAGGTTTAAGTGAATGACTGTACAGATATGTTTTTAACGTGATTAATGATAATGAATTTATTTCTTTGGTTAATTTGACTAGAAAATGTCCTCCTTTCCTTTAGGCCAGATAATGCAGTGCCGGGAGATGTGCTTGTATTGACGAAACCCCTGGGCACGCAAGTGGCAGTAGCTGTGCACCAGTGGCTGGACATTGTAAGTTAACTGCCTGATGTTATTTGAGGCTAGAGGAATGGAACAGTTAATCAGTAATTTTTCAGGGCCACGGCTGTATTTTGTGAGAGGATTTGAAGTAAAGTGGCATTTACTGTGTATGTCAGTTTAAAGATCTCTCACTTTAGACTACGTGTGTTTATCCTGAAGTGTCACTTCTCTTCCATAAAGTAAGCCCTTTTGGGCTTGTCTTACCACGTTTAAGATTGAGAATATTTTAAAAGTCTTCATTGTGTCTTTAAGACCTCTGATGTCCTTTAGTTTTATTCCCAGGGATTAGTATTGGTCAAGCTCTTTCAAAAATCCTAGGAATCATCTATACTCCTTTATTGCGTGAAAGTTTCATGTACTGAATGCATGAGAACAGGTATGCCCCAACCTCGAATTTCCAAGATTTTACACAAGGAGAATTTGGGAGGTAGGGGGGTTGGGTTTGTCTGTATATTTGGTGTTGAGAGTTTTGTTTTTTTTTTTCATCTTAATAATATGGGGAGAATTTGTGAAAATTTTCTTTGAGGTATAAATGAAGCCAGGGTTATTGACAATTTAAACTATTAGTTACGGGATTATTTTTTTGAGTCATTTCTGTTTGGTAGTTTTGTCTTTTTAAAAACTGTTGGTGGATAATTCTCTTGTGGAGAATGTATCTAGAATATAAAGACATTTCTTCTGAGTCACTATCATCATTCTTTATTCAAAAGCCCCCCCCCCGCTGTAATAGCTTACATGTTAATTAAGATTGTAGTATGTGCTCACATATCTTGGCACTTTTTAATTTCTATAACTACAACTGTCATCTAAAACAGACCTAAGACATACAGGAGAAGAAAGAAAAACATCCTTTTAGCAGTTTATCTTCTGGGTTTGTCCTTAGCTCGATAGAAAAAAATCTCTAAGGCTGCCACATTCTGCAATTCCTCCCCCCCACCCCCCCCTTATCCAATGATGACATGGGGAAGATATTGTGTGTCAAATATTAATATTTATAAATGGACTAGACAGCCAGTATAGGCGAATAATCCAGAGTTGTGTTCTAAGTTAACTACTTAGCGCTGAGTAATTTGGCAAGGAAAACAGAGACATATTAGTCAAAAGAGTATCAAAGAAAAGTGGTTTGGAGTTCTGTTCTCCCTGCCTTCAACTTGATACCACTTTTTTTTAATGCTCAGAATGAGGGAAAAAAAATCAAATTCCAAGGGTTATGTAGCAGTATAAGACCCTTTTTTTTATAGATCAGTAAAACCAGAGTATGTTGTTTGGGCATCAGTCTTTGTGAGATACAATTTTTTACAGACAGAGGCCTAGTTAAGTACGAAATTCAGAATAGTTGTTAGCTCTTGGGGAGAGATGGGGTGCTGGAGTAAGGGGGCACATAGGTAGTTATCCATAAGTTCCCTGGTGGCACAGTGGCTTACATGCTTGGCTTCTAACCAAAGGTTGGTAATTTGAACCTACTGACCATTCCTTGGGAGAAAGACATGGTGATCTGCTCCTATAAAGGTTGTTGTTGGTAAGTACCATGGTATTGCCAACTTTGGAGTTAGCTGTTCAATGCTTATCCTACTAAAGATTGTAGCCTAGAAAACCCTATGGGGCAGTTTTATTATACCCTATAGAAACACTGGAGTCCTGGTAACTGTAAGATCAGCAGTTCAAGCCCACCAGCCACTCCTCAGAAACCCTGTATAGGATTGCTATGAACTGGAACCAACTGGCCAGCACTTGGTAACAACAACATAGAGTCATTGTGGATTAAGTGTGGAGCTGCTAAGTGCAAGGTTGATGGCTCAAACCCATCAGCCAGACTACAGGAGAAAGATGAGACTGTCTGCTCCCATGAAGTCTTGGAAACCCTTTTTAGTGGTTCTATGAGTCGGTATCTGCTCAGTGGCCTTGGGTTTAATAGGGTTGTTGTGAGTCAAATTGAGTTGACAGCTTACAACATCAGTTACTGCATTGGGTTGTAAGGTTAGTATATTATTTTTAAAATACAGGCGTGAATGAGGGCCACTAATGGACCAGTGATGACAGTATGTTATGAGCCATGCATGCATCATGATAAGCTCTAGTTCTTTTGCCATCACATCAGTCTTACTGTCTTGGGTATTTTGTGTTCCACATTCCCCTGTGGGAGTAGACAGAACATACCTTTGCTACATTGTTTGAAAGTCAGGCTGAGGGAAAAAGGGAAAGGCATTTTTCTCCTTACTTGGACCATGACTTTTGTGGTTACTCAAGACTGTGCGTACAGTGGAGAGGGATTGTGCACACATTTAGTCATCAGGATGACTTGACCCCAGACTTCAGCTGATGTCAGTAAAAGTCGAACCATAATATGAAAAGCACGTGCCCTCAGCTTTATAGGAGAGATGGGAGGAGACCTAAAGGACATTGAGCAACATGAATAATGACTGACTCCAGCAAAGATGAAGAAACTGCTGCCCAGTACTCAGCACACCGGTCATTGCTTGCACACTGCAGCTGGTATGGCTTTCCGCCAGACTGTATCTCCACACTGCAGCATTTGATGACACAAGTGCGGGGTGAGAGCAGACAAGATGTCACGATAAGCTGTCTAATGGACACTTAAGATAATAGTCACAGGGGAGCAAAGGCTAAAGGACAACTCGGTTCAAAATGAAATAACAGCTTCCCAGAAAAGATGAGTTTGAAAAAATAGACTCTTTTTGTCCTTGGCTAGAAGTAAAGATTAATCACATTTTTCCTTTTTTTTCCCTCACTTGTCTTCCTATTGCTAGCCTGAAAAATGGAATAAAATTAAACTAGTGGTTACCCAGGAAGATGTAGAGTTGGCATACCAAGAAGCAATGATGAATATGGCAAGGCTCAACAGAACAGGTATAAGGGGCTGGGAGGGCTCTTCTGTTGCAGGGGTGGCAGACTGTCTTTAAAGAGCCAAGATAGTAAATACTTCAAGCTCTGTGGGTCACTTAAAGTCTTGATTGCAGGTTCACTTGATTTAATTTCTTTTTTTATATATAATGCTTTAAAATGTAGAAAAAAACATTCTTAGCTTGGGGCCTGTCAGAAGGGACAATGGGCTAAATTTGTCTCGTAACTTCGATTGGCCAACCTTCTTCTGTGGGACTTCAAAGAGTGTTCATTCTGATTTGTATTAGGGAAAGTGACTAGCCTAAACAGTATGTGAGGCTAGGCCATGGATGCGTTTTACCCAGTTCTCTCTGCATCTGGCATCTGTATTTCTCCAGGTCACTGGGGCTCTTATCTCCCATCTGGCCTAGAATCCCTCAGAATGAGGACAGTACCAGGCACAGAGTGGCAGCTGGGTGAATATGGGTGAATTGATGATTTCACTTTTGGAATCTATGAAATGAAGAGTTTAGATTGTATTTTATCTTGGTTCCTTCCAACTCTAAATTTCTATAATCATTGACGGGGTTTAATTTCTCTTTGTCCCAATAAAGATAGAAAACCTGTTGCATGTTTACAGAGGTATTTGATTTGTTTATTAACTTGGGTGTTCACATTACCATATTTTAAATTTCTGTGACATTGATGCCATACGTTTTTCTTTATAATTTCTTTCTAGTTCTGACTTTGTGGTATTGATTTAAAAGTTATGTTAGTGACTGCCGTTTGTCATTATTTAATTCTTATAACAAGAGGCTACTATTATTCATTTTACAGAGGCAAGTTACTTGCCCATGTCACATAACTAATAGTAAGGACCCAGGATTTGAAATCAGATCTGCTTCTGTTTCTAAAGCTTTTAAGTATTAAAGTTTAAAATAATGTAGGGGAGTTCTAGAAAGCAGCTAGGTTTCCAAGGACTCACTTGGAATAAAATTAAACTAGTGATTACTAGCTGGTCCCTCCTGATAATATGTCTGAAGTATGAGAGACAAAGTAGCCATCCTGGCACCCAGGGAGCATTCTGACTGTACTTCCAACATAGATTGGTTTGTTCTTTTGGCAGTCCATTATACTTTAAAAATATTCTCCAACACCATAACTCAAATGCGTCAATTCTTCTACTATCTTCTTTATTCGTTGTTCAACTTTCACATCATATGAGGTTATTGAAAATACTAGTGCTTGGGTCAGGCATACTTAGTCTTCAAAATTACATCTTTGCTCATGAACACTTTAAAGAGAAAGAGACCTTGGATAGCAGATTTGCTTAATGCAGTATGTTGTTTGAGTTCTTGACTGTTGCTTCCATGAGTGTTGATGGGTGATCTAAGCAAAATGAAGTCTTTGACAACTTCAATCTTTTCTCCATTTTTGTGATGTTGTTTATTGGTCCCAGTGGTGAGAATTTTTGTTTTCTTTACATTGAGATACCAAAGGCTGGGGTCTTTGATCTTCATTCATCAGTAAGTATTTTAAATCCTCTTCATTTTCAGCAGACAAGGTTGTATCATCTGCATATCACAGGTTGTTAATGAGACTTCCAATCTTTTTTTGGAATCAGTGGCATTTATATAAAAACCAAAGGCAACCTATTCAACATCTATTATATGTTAGGCACTTATTTTTACTTTAGCAAAACATCCATGAACAAAGTATAAAGCAACGAAAGTTGATATTTATAGGTGAAGGATTGATACCCTTACTTACTGGAATCCAATGCTTTTTTCTCAAGTCTAGAAGTAATATCCATGATGTACTCATGTTTCCAAGAATAAAAACAGTGTATTTAAGGAATGAATAATGTGATAGATTCAGTTACTTTAACTACAGATTGGGGTAACTCTAATTGGACTATTATGTTTTATTGTATAACAAATAATCATCAGATTAATCTTTAGCTATCAATTCAGAAGCAGCAAAAAGGTCAATTCAGTTTCCTGCTATAGATACGGTTTAAATGACAAAGTCTAATGCGTGCATGATTTACATTGCAAAAATTTCAATATTTCTGATAAAGATCAAAACAACAGCCTTCAGTATGGATCATATATTAATGTAAAGAAAACAAAAATCCTCACCATTGGACTAATAAATAATATCAAGATAAATGGAGAAATGTTTGAAGTTGTCAAAGACTTCATTGTGCTTGGATGAACCATCAACACTTATGGAAGCATCAGTGAAGAAGTCAAATGATATTCTGCATTAGGCAGATCTGCTGTACAGGAGCTCTTTAGAGTGTTGAAGAGCAAAGATATCAGTTTGAGGACTAAGGTGTGCCTGATCCAAGCTATGGTATTTTTAGTAACTTCATATCCATGTGAAAGTTGGACAGTGAATAAGGAAGACCGTAGAAGAATTGATATATTTGAGTTATGGTGTTGGAGGAGAATATTGAAAGTGCCATGAACTGCCAAAAGAACCAACAGATCTGTATTGGAAGAAGTACTGCCAGCATGCTCCTTGGAAACCAGGGTGGCCAGACTTCATCTCTCATACCTCGGACATATAATTAGGAGGGACCAGACCCTAGAGAAGGTTATCATGTTTGGTTAAGTGGAGGATCAGAGAAAAAGAGTAAGACCCCCAATGAGATGGATTGGCACAGTGGTGGCGTAATAGGCTCAGTGTAGCAAAGATTGTAATGTTATCCCAGGACCAGGCAATGTTTCATTCTGTTGTGTATAATGTTGCTATGAGTTAGTATTGACTCTATAGCACCTAACATCAAAAACAACAAGCCAATGTTAATGTTTTCCTAGACTTATTTAGCAAATTCAATGATAGCTGCACTTGCAAGTTTGAATCACTAAATAATATACCGGCTAACGTAAGTCCTTCAAAATAAAATGAATACAAAAACAAAACAAAAAAAATTCAATATTTAACTTTACCATTATTGTAAAAAAATCAACTCTTATAAGGCTCAGATCAAGGATAGTTTTTAATATATCAAAAATAGAGTTCTTTTGGGAAAATGTAGGTTTCTTGTTAGGATATTTCTGTAAAATCAGAGGCATGAACACCATCAACATTTAAATAGGACTTTGTGAACTAACCAAGAAGTTGGAATTAATGTGATTCTTCTTGGAGTTCAGTGCCTGTGACTAGCATCTCAGGGGATACTAGCTTTGATGACTGCATTCCAGAAATAATGAGTTTTTGTTTGCCTTTAGTGATTTTTTTTTTTTGGATATTTTTATTATGAATTATGTGTTAGTTACATGGCAGAATATATCTTTACATTCATCCTATTGTATTTCATTTTATTGCAATGATTACATTCCCTTGCATGCATCATCTAACAACCAAAGGGTACACCCCTCTTGCCTGTGTTGTCCCCTGGCCACCAGCACACAGCCCCTCTCCCTCCCCGAGTCCAGAGACCCCAGTCACTCCTTCTCTCCCCATCATGGTCTCTGCTTCCATCCCTGGCGTCGCTGCTTCTCGAGTCTTCCAATCTTGAGGCCACGTTTTTCTTCATGTCCAGCTTCTTGGATTATTTGTTCAGCATACAGGTTGAATAAGTATGGTGAAAGAATATAATCCTGGCACACACCACCTTTCCTAAATTTAAAACCATTCGGTGTTCCCTTGTTCTGTTGGAACAACTGCCTCTTTGTCTATGTATAGGCTCCTAATGAGCACAATTCATGGTTCTGGAATAGTCATTCTCCACAATGTTGTTCACAGCTAGTCATAATCCATACAACTTAAAGTCTATGGGTAGTAAGCGAAGCACAGGTAAATATCTTTTTGGTGTTCTCTGCTTTCAGCCAAGATCCATCTAACATCAGCAATGATATCCTTTTCATGTTGTTGTCTGAATCCTGCTTAAACCTCTGGCAATTCCTTGTCAGTGTACTAATCTACATTACTGATACTGTCTTATTTCTGCATTCAATCTAGAGGACCTTAAAAGGTCTTGTGTGAAAGCTACTGAAAAATGTAAAGAAACCTTTTCCAGCATTATCTTGTCTGGAATGTTTCCTTTCTTTTTCTCTTTTTTACATATAGAGTAGATACAAAAGAATTTTGTAAAGTATGTACATTACTTAGAGAATAGTAATGCAGCACCCATGTAGATACAGAAGCATAGGAGAAATCCGGTGTAAGTGGTAGAACCTGGTCTTTGACACCTCAGAGGTGCCCCTCCCAGCTCCCACATGGTCTGTATTTTATGTCTATTATTCTCATAGGATTGTATCCCTAAACATCCCCTAAAGTTAATTTTGCATTTGTAACTTTATAATGATAAACAGAATCATATCTGCATATGTGTTCCTTGCTTGTTGTCATCCAATATTTAATGCTTCTGAGATTTATCCCTGCAGTGTGGAGCTGGTATGATGCCTTTTTACCGCGGTATAATTGTCCCCTGAAACAGAGATTCTTTGAGAATATTTTAGTTGCTGCCCTGAACTTCCTTGTGCAAGACTGCTCATACACATGAAGAGGGTGATCTCAGTTAGCTTCACAGTTAGTACCACATTTTGCAATGGTACACTGCATTTCAAAATGTTTTACAATGTGTCTGTGTGTGTGTGTGCATACATGTATCTATATAGAGAGATGCATGTGAGGAGACCCTGCTGACATTGTGGGCTAAGTCTTGGGTTGCTAACTGCAAGCTCGGCAGTTCAAACCCACTAGGTGTTCCTCATCAGGAGAAAGATGAGGGATCTGCTTTAAAGTCTTGAAACCCTATATAGGGTCACTATGAGTTAGAATTGACTTGATTTTGCAGTGGTTTCTGGGTACATTTCTATATATGCATGTCTATGTCTACATATAGACATATATATTAGGTGCCATCGGGTTGGTTCTGTATACAACAGAACCAAAAAACCACTTACCAGTCCTATGCCATCCTCACAATGGTTTTATTTAAGCCCATTGTTGGTGGCAGTCCATCTCATTGGACATCTTCCCCTTTTTCATGATGTCCTTTTGTGAGGACTGAGCCCTCCTGGTAACATGTCCAATGTACATAAGATGAGGTCTCACCATCATCCATTCTGAGGAGCAGCACTCTGGTGTCCTTCTTCCAAAACACAAGTTCATAGTACTTTACAATATTCATTGCCAGTTCCATAATTCATATGCATCAATTCTCCAGCCTTCTTTATTCATTGTCCAGCTTTCCTGTAATATTGTTGTGAAGTGCCATCAAGTCAGTTCCAACCCATAGCAACCCTATGTAGGGTTTCCGATGAATGGCTAGGAATTTGAACCGCCGACCTTGCAGTTCAAACGGCTTTGCAGTCTGGCACATTAACCACAGCGCCACACCCGGACTCCTTCCTATAATGTTGTTAAGTGCCGTCAAGTAGATTTCTACCCATAGCGACCCTGTATACAGTTTGAGTGTTCAGGGAGCAGCTGGTAAGCTTGAATCACTGACCTTGCAGTTCAAATGACTTTGCAATCTGATGCATTAGCCCACAGCGCCACATCAGGACTCCTATAATATTGTTGTTAGGTGCCATCGAGTCAATACCGACTCATAGTGACCTTATGCACAGCAAAACAAAACACTGCCCTATCCTGGGCCAACCTCACTATTGTTGCCACACTGGAGTCCATCAATGCTGCCATTTTGCCAGTCCGTCTCGTTGGGGGGTCTTTCTGTTTTTCTCTGACCCTCCACCTTACCAAACATGATATCCTTCTCCAGCGACTGGAGATATGCCCGAAGTATGAGAGACAAAGTTTGGCCATCCTGGCCTCCAAGGAGCACTCTTTGTTGTTGTTAAGTGCCGTCAAGTCGGTTCCGACCCATAGCGACCCTGTACAGAGTTTCCGAGGGTGTAAATCCTTGCGGGAGTAGAAAGCCTCATCTTTCTCCCGCGGAGCGGCTGGTAGTTTCGAACCGCTGACCTTAAGGTTCGCAGCCCGATTCGTAACCACTATGCTACCAGAGCTCCTACGCAATTGAAAATGCCATGGCTTGGGTCGGGCACCCTTTTTTCTCAAAGTGACATCTTTGCTCTTAAACACTTAAGAGGCATTTTGCAGCTAATTTGCTCAATGCAGTGTCATTTGATTTTTTTTGACGGCTGTTTCTGTAAAGCATTGATTGTAGATTCAAGTAAAATGAAAGCCTAAGCAACTTCCATCCTTCTCTATTCATCATGATGTTTATTGGTCCAGTAATAAGAAATTTTGTTTTCTTCCATCCGTGTTATTAAGGTCAACTCTACTTGAAGAGGGAACTCTTTCTCAGTCATACTATAAATGCTCATCTTTCAGCACTGTATCAGACAATGTTTCACTGCTATTCATAAGGTTTTCATTGGCTAATCCCTCAGAAGTGATTATGTATTCCTTTTTGCACTGGTTACTTGATATACCAGTGGCATAGTTTCCAGCATCATGGTAACACACAAGCCATCACAGTATGACAAAATGACAGACGTGTGGGTATGTATTTGTTGTTGTTAAGTGCCAACCAGTCTGTTCCAACTCACAGCAACCCTGCATAGGGTTTTTGAGGAGCAGTTGGTGAATTTGAACTGCCATCTTTGCAGTTCAAACCAATCTCATGGTCCAGTGCTTATCCTACAGCGCCACACCATGGGTGTGTGTGTGTGTGTGTATATGTATATATGTATGTGTATATATATATATATATATATATTACAAGAAATTAATGTTCATTATTGACATTTTTTTAATATGGAAAGAAGTACAAAGAAAAAAAATTGTATGTTTGATATGTTCTTCTAAACTTAGTTGCTGGTGGGCTTGTGTTCTACTGTTGTTGTAGACTACTGGTCATCCTAGATTATGTTTGTGAAGTCTGCTTTTATTCATTTTGATTCTTTTTGCCATATTTATTACATAATTTCAGTACGTGTAATTTTTTTATTGGCAAGATAATACTTGGTATTGTAGTGGTTTATGCATTCGACTGCTAACCGCAAGTTCAACAGTTTGAATCCCCCAGCTGTTCTGCAGAAGAAAGTGACCGTTATCTGCTCCCATGTAGATGTGTAGCCTTTGCACCCTACATACGGTTGCTGTGAGTCGGGATCAACTGGATGGCCATGGGAGTAGATACTTCTGGACTGTTCATTTCACAGTGAAATTTTCCGTGATTGTCTTGGTTTCCTGGTGCCACTGTGACACACCATAAGTGCAGGACTTTAAAGAACAGACATTTATTTTTTTACGGTTTTGGAGGCTTGAATTCCAAATCTGTGTCTCAGCTGTGTGAATTGCTTCTCTGTGTAGTCCCAGGTGGTGTTATTACTTGGCTTGTAATCGACCCTCACATGGCCCTTGTCTTCCCATTGTGTGTCTCTGCATGTAACCTCTTTTTAATACTTAGAAGTAATTACAGTGAGAGCCTCCTCCCCCTATTCTAATTTTCATAAATAAGAAACTCCTTTTCCAAACAGGATTATATCCATAGTTATGTTGTCGTTGTTGGTAAGTGGCAAGGAGTTGGTTTGGTCTTCTTAGCGACCCACCCTGTATAGGGTTTCCAGGAATCCTGGAGTAGCACTGCAGGTTAATGTGTTGGATTACAAGGCCGGTTTGAACTGCAAGTTCTAACTGCTGCTCAGAAACCCTATGCAAGGGGTTTCGCTATGATTCAGAACCGACTCAACAGCACTTAAAAACAGCAACATAGGGTTTCCAAGGAGTGGCTGGTGAATCTGAACCACCAAGCTTGCAGTTAGTAGTCCAGTGCTTATTTTGTAGCACCACACCAGAACTCTATCCATAGGGGTGGAGGTTAAGATCCCATATTTTTCTGTCTACTATGAAATACTCTAAGATTAAATTGTAATCTTGTCCTCAGACACTCATTACTCACAGCCTTAGTTTCTCATTAGTGCTCCTGTAACTTTTTTTTTTTCATTTCTTTGGTTTTTCAAATGAAGTAATTTAATAAGAGCGTATTTGTAATGGCTTTGTCTATATGGATTATCTGTTTCCCTATATTTGAGCATTTGTGATTTCCTACAGTAACTTTTTTATATTGTTAGTAGAATACAATATCACAGACTCTTACAGAGGGTATATTGCTATATCTAGAAAAATTATATATGCATTTACCATTTGACCTAGCAGTCCCAATTGTAGGAATCTCTCCCAAACTGCCTCAGTTGGAATGTGTTATATGTACGGAGCTAGTCATTGCAGCACTGCTGGTGATTGCTAAAGACAGGAGACACCCAGGTGTCTTATCAGTAGGGAACCGGTTATAGTCTTTACTTTCCATGCACACAGGGACTGTTCTGCAACTACAAAGGGGATGGGAAAGATTTGTACTGTTAGCGGAGCTATCTCCTCCAGGATGCAGTCAAGTGAAAAAAGCAAGGGACAGATGCATCAGTATACTGTGCTGTGGGTGTGTGTATTTACACATGAATGTGAACGCCTAGTGCAGGTGATGGCTTTATTAAATGTCATTGGAAGTGCCCCCCTACATCCCACTGGATTATTGGTAGTTAGTGCCACCGAATCCGTTCTGACTCATAGCAACCCTGTATCGGGTTTCCAAGAAGCAGCTGGTGGGTTTGAACAGCCAGCCTTGCAGCCTAGTGCTGATCCTGCAGCACCACATCAGGAGTCCTATAGTTGTGTTAATAGAATGGCTAGTAATATCTGTTCCCTTAGCCACCATGATGGACTTAAAAAAATCACTGGCATAAAGTCGATTCCAACTCATAGTAACCCTTCATAGACTTTCCAAGCCTGCATATCTTTATGGGGACAGAAGACCTCGTCTGTCTCCTGTGGAACTGCTGGCGGACTTGAACTGCTGACCTTGCAGTTAGTAACCCAATGCCTAACCCACAGCACCACCAGGGTGCTTTTCATGATAGACTAGAAATCTCAATTCTCTTTCCTGGTGTTTGAACACACCGAAGTAGAAGAGGTGAGGGAATGTACCAAAAAATACATTCACTTTTCATGAGGGAAGGTTTTAAAATTTTTTTGAGTATTTCAGGCAATTCATTTCTTATTAGAGTTTCTGATTTTAAGTTAGATCATCTTAAATTTTAAAAAATTAGCATTTCAGACAATTTACCCCTAGCTAGCGTTCCTGATTTTAGATTAGAAAGCTCTAAAAGGCCCATTCTGATAGCGTGGTGGTTACGAATCGGGCTGCGAACCTTAAGGCCAGCAGTTCGAAACTACCAGCTGCTCCGCAGGAGAAAGATGAGGTGTTCTGCTTACGTAAAGATTTACAGCCTTGAAAACCCTGTACAGGGTCTCTATGGGTCGGAACCGACTCAACGGCACTTAACAACAAGAAGTGTTCCTGATTTTAGATTAGATAAGCTCTAAAAGCCCCATTCTATGATATTCGGGTACTTTTGATAGATACCCTCTCTGTAGGGATCATATAGTTTATTCATAGGTTTTTGGTTTTGGTTTTTAGTTTACCAGGAAGTTGCTATTGATTGCAGCTGCTGTTAGTTTTAAGTGATTTGAATAGAAATAAATTAACTTTCAGAATTTCCTTCACTATGGTATTTGCTGATTCGTAAAATAACATTTGTAGTCCCTGTCTGCCTGCCAAACCACCGGTGAGTGAGGAGTGAGATCAGTAGCTTACGTAAGAGTGGGGGAAAGCTTGGCGCTCATTCCCTCAGAATCCTTGTTTGTTACTCTAGCTAATAAACACTTCCTCGGCCCTCTCAGCTGCAGGACTCATGCACACCTTCAATGCCCATGCGGCCACCGACATCACAGGCTTTGGAATTTTGGGCCATGCACAAAATCTGGCCAAGCAACAGAGGAACGAAGTCTCGTTTGTGATCCACAACCTCCCTGTACTGGCCAAGATGGCAGCTGTGAGCAAGGCATGTGGGAACATGTTTGGCCTCATGCATGGAACCTGTCCGGAGACATCAGGTACAAGGATCCTGGGTCCAAATCTGAGGATTTAAACTAGTAAGGCTAATGGAAAGTTCCATGAGAAAGAAGCAGTCAAGTTCATGAGTATGGCCCCACTCTATGTGAGGTCAGTGTTGGTAACCTTGGCCTTCTTAGCAACTGATGTTATTTCCCCCAGTGTCATCCTACGTGTGATGAGCAGTGTGGTTTTAAGTTGAGTTTTTCTGGGATTTTCTTTTTGATGTAGGAATATGGTGATGCCGTGAGAGGGAAAGAGAATATGGGGGTGGATATCAACCATTGCTCAGAATTCACTGGAAACTTAGCATTTGAAATAAACTGTAATACCCATAGGTAGATGGTTGAATTGTGCAGGCTGTTTCCCTTTGAAATGTTTAAAAATTGCTATAAGAAGGAAATAGTATATTTTTGTCTCCTAAGTGCTAGTTTTCTTTTTTCCTCCCCCCTCCTCCCTTGTGGTTATTCTTTTAGTCCCCTCTCCCCCTTCCCCCAACCCCACCTTGGCAAAAGAATGAAATTACCTGGGGAATTTTTTAAATACCCATGCCTACAACTGACCTCGAGAAAACCAGATGTAATAGTTGGTCTGGGGTGGGTCTGTTGTTGTTAATTGCCATCACATCCTAGATGTCATTCATCATAGAAGCTAGAAGCTCCCTAGAAGAGTCTCGTGTCAGTAGGAGTGAGGGCCACATGGTCTGCCCACATGTCAGACCCTGTGGAGTGGCTTGAGTTGTTCTGACTCTTGTAGGGAGAAGCCTTTATAGAGGATACTTCCACCCTTCAATTTTCTATTTTGTTGTTGGTTTTTTTCCCCTAGAAATAAACTTTTGGAGTGCAAGGAATTGATTTGTTTCTTCAGTGTTTGGCTAGAACAGTTGAGTGTTACTAGTCGGAACCAACTCAACAGTACTTAACAACAACTAGCAAATTACATTTGTTTCCTTCATCCAGTAATGAGAACTTTTGCTTTGCGTGTATGTTTGTCTGAAATAAGGGTGTGTCTTCTTTCTCAGTGGTTTTATTTCTACTTGTTAATATATAAAAGTTTCTGTCCAAACTTCTAGAAATAGCAAAGCTTTTTTTTAATGTATTAAGTATTTTTTTCCGATTCATGAGATAATGCCAGTCAGGACTAGAACCTAGTTACTCTGAAGAAACACACTTTCATCAATCTTGTTTTTAAATTTTCATACATACACAGAAATCAAATGTGAAAGCATTCTTTATGAGGGGCCAGCCTAGAGAATCAAATTGAATCTTTTTTTGTTTCTTTTCAAAGAGTAAGATAATTCACAGTGATTTGCATCTTTTGTTTTTAAATAAATCTTTCTTTTAACATAACATAAAAAAAGTAGTTTAAGGTGTGCTGTTTCATTTGTTTGTTTGTTGACAGTAAGAGTTTTTTAAGAGCATGTTTAATTACTTTGCAGTTTAATCTGTGTAGGTAGAATGGAGCAGACTTCTTATCTGATAGGAGGAGGCAACTTGCACCAAGAATGTTGATTGAACTTGACTCTATGTAGCCGTGTTTAGGAGAGAGGGCAGTGAGATTGCTCACCAAGGGTCAGCACTAATGGTACTTCTCTTTCTTTGCCAGGAGGCCTGCTAATCTGTTTGCCACGTGAGCAAGCCGCTCGATTCTGTGCAGAGATAAAGTCCCCCAAATATGGTGAAGGTCACCAAGCATGGATTATTGGGATTGTAGAGAAGGGCAACCGTACTGCCAGAATCATAGACAAACCCCGGATCATTGAAGTCGCACCGCAAGTGGCCACTCAAAATGTGAACCCCACACCTGGTGCCACCTCCTAATCCAGACAGGAATCGCTATTTGTTTTTGTTTTTAAATAGATCTATTCCTTTATCATCACTTCAATTAAAGACTGTAAACAACAAAACTCTCATTGTGTCTACACATCTGGTGACCTTAGGTCAATTTGTAAGTGGATGCAATTAATAAAATCCATTGCCTTTTTTTCCTGTTACATTAACTGAAGATGCACCTAGTCTTGAGGCAGCTTCTGAGTTGAGAATTATATTGTTATCCAATACTGTTGATTCATTTTGAATCTTTAGACACTTATCTCTTGCCGCGTAGGCTCTTTTTAAAGGTGCTTTCACATAGCACAGACATTACCAATCGTAATGTCACCTAGCTGTTTGTGTCTTTTCATTTTATGTGTATTTATCATTTTAAGTCTGATCTTTCCTTTACATGTCTTGAAGGGTTTTCTGGAAAGACAAAATTGGTGACAAAATGGTATTCCAGTGGCAAGAGGGTGCATGATTCTTTTGAGTCTAATTTGTGAGGCCTAGACTTAATCACCAAGAGCATCTCTTTGACCCAGGACATGACCCAATAGTGCATTCACTTAAACCAGGCAAGTGCTTAACTGCATGGGAAGCATTCTGAAGAAGAACTCTTTTTTTTGTAGCCTTCCTGACATTTACATTAACATCAGTAACATTTTTCTTTATTGATATGAACAAAGGATACTTTTTGCAATGTAATTAGATGTTTTATAGTTCCACAGGAGAAAGATGAGGCTTTCTGCTCCCGTAAAGATTTACAGCCTCGGAAACCCTGTACAGGGTTGCTATGAGTCGAAACCGACTCCACGGCACATAACCAACCACCATAACCATAGCGCAAAAGGGGTTCCTTAGAAGGCTTCCGAAGAGGGGTTCATGTATAATACTCATTTACAATTCAATATATAATTAACTACGCAAATAATTTTTAAATATAATCAACAATAAAGACTGTTCTGTGGATGGTAGTGTTTAATACATTTTCTATTTTGTATAGTGATTTCAGGCCTTTTGTTTTCTTTAAAAAAAAAATCAGCAGATAATTAGCCTAATTCTTAGCATTATTTTGTCTTCTGCGCCAGTACTTTTTTGTGCACGCTTTTGTGATCTGTGTTAAAAATCTGTGTTGCCAACATTGCAGCTCAAACTGAAACCTGTTATTAAATAAATATTTAATTTTTTTTATTGCTCTTGTATAATCAGATGCCCCTTTTAGTATTATTTTAGAAACGTTGGGAGGGTTTTGCCTAAAGTACAATTTATTGGGGAAAACTAGATTTTAGTTTTATAAAACTTTTGAGTCTTTCATGGGACCTATATTTTCCTGGATTAAATTTTGTAGTTCTAGAACAAATAGGTGATCGAAGAAGGTGTTTATCTGTGTGACTTCTGAACAGAGGCTTCCTTGTATTTTCACCTGCTAACCAATTAGGAGGGATTCCTGTCATTAAGCACAAGGGCACTGGCTCCTCACATCCTGAATGCTTCCTGCTCACAGGCACCAAAGCCCTGTACACTCAGCAACCTCTTGCCAAAGGAAACCACCACTCTAAGAAGCTCCCTGGAAGAGGCTGTAACCCCTTCAGGAATGCACGGGCAGACTTCATGCATGTGTAACTGCGACTCAAGCCATAAGTACAGAAGCAGCTGCTACAGAACTGAAACTAATTGGACATTTTATAGGAATTTATACATAATGTTGACCCTTAAAAGCTGCAAACCAGTGGTCTACAAAATAAAATGTGTTGGAAACCTCTGTGTAAGATAAACATACTGTTGAGCCTTTTCTTTTCTTTTAATGCATCCAAAAAGTTGTTAAGTGATGACAAAATCTGAACTTACTTTCAGTGTAGGTTGCCTTTGGAATGCTCTGGTCGTTCTCTTGAGAACTTAATGGCTACCCACTGAGGAAATCATCTACATTCATATTTGTAAAGACGAAACCTTGGGTACTCACTGTTGAGTTTCCATCAAGTTGATTCTAACAGATAATATAGTGCCACCATGAATGCAGAGTAGAACGCCATAAGGGTTTCAGAGCTGTGATCACCAGGTTCATCTTTCTTAGACACTGCTTGTTGAATGCTGTTGAGTCGGTTCCAACCCATAGCGACCCTGTACAGGGTTTCTGAGGAGCAGCTGGTGAGCTTAAACTGCCAACTGTGCATTTCAAACCGACTTTGCAGTTCAGCGCATTAACCCACAGTGCCAAACCAGGACTCCAAGACATTGCTAGCTGGGTTCAAATCACCAACCTTTTGCTAGAAGTCATGTGCTTAACTATTTGTGTCATCCCAGGCCCCAAAAGTCTATGTGATTCATGATTCCAGGAAGAAGAACTTATTTTAAAAACTATTTTTCAGTAACCAATATCTGCCTATGTGAGAGTCACCTAGAGGCTGGGACCAGGGTGTCTATGTAGTTATGCCCACTGCAATTAGAACCATCTATAGCAGGGGTAAGTAAGGATCATCAGCCCAAGGGCCACATATGTTAAGTGCTGTTCGACCCATAGTATAAGGTTTCCAAGGAGCAACTGGTGAGCTTTAGCCACAGACTGTGGTTCAAACTGACTGAAGTCCAGGGCATTAACACACAGCACCACACCAGGACTCCAGCCTTCATATTGCTGTGCTGTCGAGTCGGTTCCCACCCATAGTGACCCTGCATAGGGTTTCCAAGGAGCAGCTGGTGAGTTTGAACCAACAACTTTTGCAGTTCAAACTGCTTTGCAGTCTGGCACATTAACCCACAGTACTATATCAGTACTCCAGCCATCACATTAATGGTGAGTTAAATGTTTTTGGCCAAATAGTGGTGGTGGTATGCACCATGGAGTCGAGGCTGTAAATCTTTACGGGAGCAGAAAGCCTCATCTTTCTCCCGCGAAACAGCTGGTAGTTTGTGGCCTGAATCGAAACCACTACGCTACCAGAGCTCCTTATGGCCAAATGTAGCAGGCTAATTTTAAGTTAGTAATTTTGTATAACCTGTGAATGATGTTATAAACAAATGACCCTTACCAGAATAAAGGTTCTCCACCTCTGCTCTAAAGCAGTGCTGCAGAAGGTAGGAAAAAGGAATGAAAGGATTTGTGATGTATTTTTACAGGTGTTTTAAATTTTGCTGTTTATTGATTTTCATATCTGGACCTGTTTCCCAACAAAGGGGAAGAAAAAGATGACAACTTGAACATTAGTTGAAGATTAAATACTGTGTTTTTATACAAATGACGCATGATCTGCATGCGTCTGCAAACCATGCAAACCGCCCCCCCCCATACATTAATTTACTATACATGTGCACGTTACTTACGTAGATGTGTTATATATGTGGAAAACGTAGTATTTGAATTCTTGGCCAAATCTTTGTAGGCCATTTTAAAATTCAGTGAACAATAAATAGGCAATTGTTTGAAAGCCATATAAAGTTTCACATTTAGGTGTGTTCATCTGAATTTATTTCTTTGAACTCCATGGTAGAGTTGGAGTCCTAGTATGGTGCTATAGGATAAGCACTAGATTGCTCACCACAAGATTGGTGATTCAGACCCACTAGCTGCTCCTCAGAAATCCTATGCTGAGTTGCTGTGAGCCAACTAACTCATCAATGGCTCTCAACATCATATAGTTGCATCCAAAATACAGTGTTAAATGCATTAACACAGGCTGGACCCTGGTGGGACAGAGATTGCGTTTCAGGCAACAGATCATTTGCCAAGGAAGATCAAAGTCTGATTATTATTTATGCTTGCTGTGTTGAAGCATTTATTGTTATGTCAGTGGAGGGGGAAAGAAATATTGCATAAGCAATATGTACTTTTTTTTTTTTTTTTTTGGCTCAGTCTATTGTAGTCTCCAAGTTCCTCATGCCTTCTGATGAATAAATGTAAATCTTTGAAATTTTCCACTTATGTGTGAACCAATTTTCAGTCTGAATTTAAACGATATCCTGGTTTCTCTATACAGATTTCTGAAGAGAAACCAGGATATCGACATTGTACAATCCTTCTTTGTAGACTATAATGTAGGTACTGATACATCAAATACTTAACTGTTCCATATGTATTTGTGGTCTCTGAGTTTCTCGTCACTTCCACACTCAGCTCACCCTTATTTCTCTGGATTAGTCAGTGACTGCATAGACAATATAATTTACTTTCAACTGCTAATAGTACTTTCTCATTAGGAATCCTAATAAGAGTCATGCAGCCATTGAACATGACAATGTCCACATGAAAACAAACGTTCAAGACCCTGTTCCGAAAGCACAAGAAGAGTAACGTTTTCCCTGTACTTCAATCTGAATAGGGGTAGCGGTCAGGCCCTTATCAAGAAGCCATTAGATAAAACAGCATGCTGATAGGAGTCTAGACATGCTTGAGGACTGCTGTAGATGCCAAAAGTTTTGATAAAAGTTGGGGGAAAATAAGTCTTGGAACCACTGTTAGTTGCTATTGAGCCAATACTAACTTATAGTGACCTTATGTATATTTTCATATTCCTATATTTCATAATGCTTAGGTATGATAATCATCTCTTCAGCCACACCCTCAATGTTTCCTATAATTGGATTGTCCTCCCTAAATCCTGTTGCCTTTAGAGAAAGTGTTAGTGGGGCTGCATTAATGGTTACAAAAACTTCATGGAAAGAAACAGAAAATTCACTACATTAGTGTCCTGGTTGCTGAAAAGCCACTGTATTTTCTACTAAGCATATGCACACAGAAATGTTATGTTAATATTATCAGCCTATAAGGTACTGTATTTTTCCCTAATCCATAAATAGAGCTGTTTAAAATTGTTATCTACAGCATAGCCCTGCTGGTCTATTTTGGAAAATAAAAACAATTACAACAGTTACACCTCCTCTCTTAATTTTTTTGAATAAAAACATATTCTTTTTAGCAAATAATACTGTTTATGGTAATAGTGTATTAATTGGGAAAAGAATAATTATAGCAGCACAACATGAATTTAATCAGTGTCACTGAATGATACAAGTAGAAATTAGTGAATTAGTGAAAGTTTTGTTCTGTATATTTTTGAACAAAACAAGTAAAAAATGTAAGTAATGCTTTTTAAAAGAATACAAAGGAGAGTCAGCAAGATACAGAGAAGGCTTCAATGGAATTAAAATAAAAAGGGATTTTTTTCTCAAAACTTTAGCAAGCCACCTAGTATATATGTTACTAGGTGCTATCCTCTTGGCTCATACTCTTAATGACCCTGCGCACAACAGCACAAAACACTGCCCAGTCCTGCACCATCTTACACCTGTTGTGTTTGAGCCCACTGGTACTAAAGTCGTGTCAACCCATCTCATTGGGGTTCTTCCTCTTTTTCACTTGA